TTCAAAATACCGTATACCTGAATTTCATTATCAAAAAAGGTTATATTGTTTCTAAGGTTTGCGTATTGATAACTTGTTAATTGAAAAAGAGTGCAACATGTGCATTTGAACAAATGCTTTAAAAAAGTAAATACGTTTTTTTATTATCCTAAAAGTGCATTTGCCAAGAACTCCGCAAGTGTTTTTTTTTTGCAGGAAATGAGCTCTGAGTTATGTAGTTTCAAGATGGAGACAACTATTATGGTTCAGTATTGCCAAAATAACATTTAAGCCAGTTTTTATTCAAAATAAGTCTGCGTACAATAGATGCAGGCCTCTCATTTCTTCAGCAATGCTGTTAAATGTTTGTTTGGTATGAACTTTTACATGGTATGAAATGTGATACAGTATATCACATTTGATACCAAAATGAAACCACTCAAGAGGTTAATGGGTATTTTGCATGCTTATTGTAAGTTCACATTCAGATAAATAATCACTTTTAATAGTTGTCGGATGGTTTGCAGTTTTTCACGTTATTAAAAGTACATATTTTTTAATTTCTCTTAATGTTTTTTTTCTTCAAAGCTGTACTGTATTAAAATCATATGTAGGCAAGCCCTGTCTTTGATTACATCATGATGGAAGGATTGTGTAGCGTATACAAGTTTTACTTGCATATGTGCAGCATACTTTAACGAGTTATGGTGCACGGTAGTAGACTTGTAGTAACTAAAGAATGAGCACTGCTTAACAAATGCTATAAAGTACTTGGAATTTCTGATATATTATCCAAGACAATTAAATTATATATACGGTATAACCATTTTTGCATTTATAAACCACGGGGCTTACGTTCTCACTCAACATTTTCTGAAACGCTGCTTTGCTGGCTTGGAGTAGGGATTAAAGTATAGGCATCAGGCTCTATCACTAGTACAATATATGCCTATCCATCGTAGTCCTATATTGTTGTACCCTATAGTCATATGAACATGTTTATAAAAATGAAATGGTTGCTCTAATTCGTGGAACAGCATTCTGAACTGGCCAAACTGAATTTTTTTTATAGACCATTGTTTAAATAATGTACTACATATATCTTATAAGATCTTCCACTGGTAATACATGTACATTCCTTTGCCAATCAACTGCTGGATGTAGGTCTCCCAAACCACAGCCTATAGCACCTGTAACGCATTGTGGTTTCCTGTCCAAGCATTATCTAGGCTCAAAACCTGCTTAGTGTCTGAGATTCGACGAGATTGGGAGCATTCCGTGTGATTCGTTTAAAGGCAGGTGATATACAGTTGGATCTAAACAAGGTTATTCCTCCCCACCCCACGAGAATGTATTGCTGTATGCTAAACATTACCATCAAAGCATAACATTGCTGCTTGCGTGAGATAGACATTGGTCAGATATGTATTTGAAAAACATTGCCCCACAATGGAACTGCCCTCCCAAATAAGTCTTGTAATTGCTGACATTATGGTGTATACTCAGGGTGTTGATATGTGGAACTCTTTCAGGAGCTGTCAATGAGTGCTTTGTGATGGGGTCACGCGATACGTGTGATAACAGTAGCGGGTCAATGAAGTGAGTGTTTGCGCACTGTGCGTGCGTGTGTGGCCACACAAATTGGAGCAATATCACTGACGTTTCACGGAGCTCGGGTTTTCTACTTTTACCATATGAATCGCATCAGTGCTGCCCACTCAAAATTAAAAAAAAGCTTAATTTGCTTTAAGAGAAATCTTGCAGTTGCAAAATCGTTAACTGTAAATGTTAAATTATGAAAATGGAAACCGCAATTAAATGAAAATATTGAGTTAAACATTGGCGTTCAGGAATTACATTTCTTTTAAGCGTGTGAATAATATATTCATAAACAAAAAGTTATTTATTTCAGTCCATTTATGGAAGGATGTGTGACTCGCATGAAGTGATGTCATTCACGTGACTCATTTGGATGGCCATCAAACTTGTTTTTGAAAACGTGTTTTTGAAAACAATGTTCCATCAGATCGCTTTTTATGTTAACACTCCCTTTGTAGAGCTCAGCAGCCACCTATGGTAGCAATTAAATAATTGGATCTAGCAATTACAACCATTTTACATGTCGTGAATTACCATGTTGTTTTTACACATCCTACAAGTAACCAAATCAAACGGTGTAAGAAGCATGGAATCTTTGTTTATTCATGTAAACTACTTTGTAATGCGCACTACATTTCGATTAAACATCCACACTTGTTACATCTGTGGGGTTTACAATGATGTATTTTAATTAGCGATGTATGTATGCTTAAATGTGTATCGAAGCTGTGCTGCATAAAATAAAATATTCTACCTCTTTGTATCCGATGCCCTTTGGCAATTAATTGTCCTGAAGTGGCAATATTGAACTGTGTGATCAATAATGACACTGTCAGGGAGATTCAATGTTTTTTTAAACATCCCTGAATTCACCTGGACTCTTGTATCCCGATGAAAGATGGAATGGGTCTATCAATGTCTTATAATTGGTGGGCCTGGCGGGTGTTTATAACTTATTAATGAATGTCACAATTGCTTTGAAGCCCCCACCGCCCACCCCCCACAGATTGACGCAGTCGAGCTGGAGACACACGGTCTAGAAAGGAAACCCGTCTGCCTTATTTAAAGAATGTTCTAAACACAGATATGTTTATACTGGTAGGAACCTCCTGGTTACACCAGCCCACAGGGGATTATTGTGTCCGTCCGTCGTGCATCCAAAAATGGGAGGGGTGGGGCTGGGTGGAGAGGGGAGGGTGGGGAGGGGCTGGGTGGGGAGGGAGGGGATGGGTGGGGTGGGGAGGGTGGTTGGGGCTGGGTGGAGAGGGGCTGGGTGGGGAGGGGCTGGGTGGAGAGGGGCTGGGTGGGGAGGGGCTGGGTGGAGAGGGGCTGGGTGGGGAGGGTGGGACTGAGTGGGGGGTGGGAGGGGTGGGGCTGGGTGGGGAGGGGCTGGTCACCCCGTGGTGCCCTTATAAAACTCAACGTTTAACCTACTCACGCCGGCTTGTGCCCGCCCTCACAGTCGGGCATATTTGCGGAATACACCACGTGGTGCCGCCGTTGACCCTGGCCATTGACCGAGCAACCCAACGTTCCTACCAGCTCCCTCCGCAGGAATGTGTTATTGTGGGTGTGCATGTGAATGAAAGCTGGTAAACAGCTCGAGCTCATTATTTTATATTGCAAATGCAGGTGTCTTCCATGTGAATGGGTTGTTATTTATTTTACCCCTAATACAACCACAGACAATCTATTGAAGCAAAAAGACGACACACATGAATTGGTTTGCTCGCTTTTTTCTTTACAGTACGTTCATAAGTGTCTTACCCCCGTAAATGATTAGTAAAGCAGTTCGTCACTTGTTCGCTGCAGTTATAGTGATTATGAAGAGCCTGCATAGTTTTGTGATTGCCAATTCTTCTGGCAGTTTGCTAGAACTGAGATCAAGCAGACCTTCTAAAGGCTGGTTTCTGTCTAGATTTGAAGTTTTCGTGACTGCAGGGATCCATACGCTTTGGTTCTTTCGGTAAAGTCACGTAGGTAGAAAATATATTTTTTATAACAAATAATTTTTTGTATGTAAAAAAATAAAATTTTATATAGAAAGAACCAAAGAGTATAGGCTGGTTTCTGTACAATAATTCGAGTGATGCCTTCTGCACCCATGTGTTTTCAATTGTCTCTGCCCACAAGCCCAATCGACAGCTATTCTAGAATCTGATGCATTGTGTTCAAAATGCATGCCAGAAACTTATTTAAAAACGTGTATATCTATTAAAAAAAACTGCAATCAAAACAACGTCAGATTATAAATCCATGAACAAAACAAAACCATAATAAAGGTTGTCGGGTTAGATCGCGTTATTTATAAATGTGTCGTAACCCTCCACCACCCGACACGTTGACAAAAGACAAATAGTTCACTACTTTAGCCAACCGGTGTGTTGAAGAGTGAATCCACAACATTTACAGTTTGAGTACGACGTTTCGCTGGTAATTACATCCAGCATCATCGGGAAATTTGCCCGATGATGCTGGATCTAACCCAAAAACCTTTATTATGAATAATACTGGTTGCGAAAGCCTACGTGTTAAAACAAATCCAACATTTTATTTCATATTTGACGATTTTCTACATGACCAACGTATTCTATTTGGAGAAGCGGCAATATGGGGTGGAACGTTGCATCAGTTAATATATTAATATCAATGATTAAGCTCATGATACATGTGCACAAAATACTCCCGATATTTTTCAATAAAAATTTGCCGCAGCCATTGGAGGTGCTACCATTCACCACGATGTTGAAAAAAGTCATGGATTCATATCATGACCCTGATGCTTTAATTGTTCCACACATCGTAATGACTTACCACATTCCATGTGTCATTCTCCTGAAGAACGTGTACAAATAATGCTAAATAATTTTTTTTTTTACTAGGATTTGATTGAAATTGGTATAGGCAATGAAGCATGTCTCCCCCTAAAAATACTCGTGCTACGATACTTGCCATTTCGCGTGTTATATGTATTGGCTCTCTGCAATTGCTTTACTCACATGCGTCCACAGGTATATCGCCTATTCGTTTCACACTTTCAGTCAGCGATTCGAGAAATGTTTACTTTATTTACAGACTAGCTCTGCTCACCATATGCATCCGTTTTGTGCAACAAAAAAGAAGAGAATTGGGCAAAACTCCAAAGCAGGACCATCCAGAAAGTCCTGATTTAATTCCAGATATTTGTGGGTATAGGAATATCATCATTATTATTGTTATTGCATACGCACATCAAGCGAAGCGATGCTGTTGGCTCTCCCATAATTCCTTGAATATGACTTCTGTTCAGGCTTAATGGACACGTTTATCCAGTTGGTGGGGATATTTCATCATCTCTCATTGACTGGAGAGAATTGTGGTTTTCCTGAACATCTTTTTGTAAAGCCTGCTTGACCCACAACACTGTGTGATCTGCCTTTCAGACCTCAGTGACCATCTGCTGGAGGTGGTTGGGCTGGATGGAGCTATGGAAATGGGCCAGATCTACACGGGGCTGAAGAGTGCAGGTTCCCGCTTGGCCCAGTGTTCCTCCGTGACCATCAGGTAGGCACTGTTCTTTTAATGAACAATTTAACAATGTCATTTGTTTTTAATTGTGCGTACCTTGTATACTTAATAGTGCGGTGGTCAAATGACCCCCATAACCTGCATGTCAGGGGGATCGCCCTCATTTAGCAGTGGATTGACAAAAGGGCTGTGCGTGAAGATTATGTTACTTTTTTTCTCTGGCATGGTTTGTTCAATCTCTATGAATATAATGTCATCGTAATAATGTGTGACACATCTCAGTATATTCGGGCGAATGGGACCCTCTGAGTCATATATTTGGAACTCTTAAAATACCCGACGAAGAGTGTTGGCGCAGTGGTTAGTATGCTGCGCCATGAACCCAGACATGGCTAACAACATTTGGTGAGTGACTTGTGAACCGTGTCTGCTGCTACCCACCCATCACCCCACCCTTCACCAACCTGCATTGAACATGATAAATAATGGTCAAACAATTTTCACATGAGCTTTGCAGTATATGAACACAAATGATTACTACAATCTAATGGCATCCACGTTTTTTGATGGTCCAGTAATGAAACAGAGGAACCTGAAACATTTCTTAAATGAGCTTGCGGAAAAGTATGAATTACCTAAACTATGTTAATACACGCATACAAATAATAATAATAATAATCCCTTTTCTCTGTGCATTCATCGAAGTGTAAGTGTTTACAGTTTATCAGTTTCCCCAAGCACATTTATAGAATGTTTAAGATTAATTTGTGTCACACACTTAAACCTATTATTGTCTAAAACCCTGTTTTCCAATAAGGGAAAATATGAATATTAAGCAGTGAACACCCAACATTTTTGTTCAATTAACATGTACAGCATACTTATTGTGACAGAAGTGGAAAGCATGTCACACATGTATGAACAATCAAACTGCTTTTATAAAGTTCACGCCGCCATGTAATTATACTTAGTGGAGAACAATTCAAGACAAAAAGGTACCTTATCCAAACATACACAACCGTTTGGCTCTGGTTTATGCTGTTGACACATTCCATCTCGATGTAGCAGCAAAGTGCCATCACTCATGCTGTCAGCCGACATCAGTAGCTTGGTATAGCGCCAAATGTGGCTTCCTCCAATTTTAGGTATGAGAGTAGTGCATATCATTGAGCTCACATTACAGTTCTGGCAAAAATGGATTTTCCACTTTGCAGACATTGTCAATTTGCTTTACATATTTTCCCAATTGAGGACAGTGTTTTTTGGCAGGATAGACTTCCTGCATGAAATCTAGAAGAATATGAAAAAAAGCTATTCAGGGCCCTTCAGAAAATAAAATATCCCAACATTAGTTTTGCCTTTTACAGGAGCAGTTGTGGACCAAGGTTTAGTAAAAGGCATGTTGAAATGAGTTTCTGGAAAACTCATTGAATAAGCAAGTCTTGTGGATTTTATTTGCGCTCGGCAAACTCACATTGATTCAAGTCCTAAAGTTAAATTCAGTTGAATTGAGGCGAGACATCCATGGAGAATTTGTGGAACGGCAATAATTAAATACATCCTGCCTCTGTGCATTGGTCATGTCAACAAGCTGGCTTTAAACAAAGGTTACGGTTTTTGTTTTTATGTATTCTGTTTGCACAGCAGAAGAGTGCATCCTTGATAGATGATGACATTGTTGCTGGTTTGCAGGACGACCAAGCTGCTACCTATGCAGATTGATGGAGAGCCTTGGATGCAGCCGCCCTGCACAGTAAGCAAAAATATCCACACTTTACAGCACATCGCAGAATATTGTAGAATAAATAAAGTGCTCATACATGCCAACGTCAGGCAAAGCCTTGTCAAGACCACTTAAATGAGATAGTTCTGATTTGGGACAATAATGTCTGTTAAATAAATAATATATGTTGCAGCGGAAAAGATTGTGTATGATGATTCAAAATAGCACTCTATCCTATTAAAGTAAACACGTAGATGGAAGGAAATTTTCACAAGTTGCTCTTGGGTGCCCATTGGCTGAATGGCTATTCAACTGTTAAGCTATACAACATATATTTAATAACAGTTTAGCCTAGATCAGGGGTCGGCAACCAAAATAACAAGTAGAGGCATTGTTTTCAAATTTAGTTTAAAAAAAGCTCAATATTTGAAGGGCCGCAATGCATGTGAATAGGAGAAGATGGTCCTCAATAAATAACATTATGAAGCAGTCCTTAAAGAGCCACATGGCGCTCCGGAGCTGCAGGTTTGCCGACCCCTGGGCTCGATCATCACTCCGTAACTGCTTTTCTGTTTATTGTTTGTATGCTATTATACATCAGAAAGCAAAAACTATAACAAATTATGGTTTGTAATTTGTTTTTCGTGGCATGTTCGCTTCCACAAAATAATTTCCAATATCAATTATTGACAGTAAATTGCAGAATAATTGTTGTTCTCAATTGGTCATTAGGCTTTCTAAGAAGCAAATCTACAAATATAATATAGTATATTAAAAGTTAGTTCCACCAATTATGGGCTTAACTTACGATCAAACTATAAGAGTATTTTTTTTCAGAATGAGGTTGTCTTAGATATGCATACCCAAGTTGTGCATCTCTTAATGTCACCCACAAGAGAACTGTACATGGTTTTGTAGGTACACCTGCATTAATAAAAATGCCCGTGGCTTTATTGTAATGACAAGTTACATATTGTGCCAACCGTGCTAATCGAAGATGCTAATCACACCTCCGATTAGCACGGTTGGCTACGCACGGTGTGAAATACGTTTAATATATATTAATTGTGATGATGTGACTTTGTTGCTAATTATATTAAAAACATTGACGAAATACTTACAACTTACTCACTTCAAAGATAACACAACCCCTCAAGTCCAGCTGAGGCCTTTACTATATTTTAAATATTTAAGTGGCTCAAAATGTCATTGGGCACTTGCAATATTCTTAATTATTTAGGGTGCCCATAACTGTTGTCTTAGTATATTTGTACTTTTAAAAACACTGAAAATTCTGACTTTATTTAACTGTCACTAAGAATGCCATTTTACTATTGTCTAGATTTGTATAAAGAAAATACCAAAATACATATTACTAGGGGAGATGGACAAAAACAAAATTTTGCCAAGGCTAATAAGGTGTTAGACGCATGCAGGTGTTAGATGGATTAATACATCGCAAGTCCATAAGAGATGGCGATGGCTCAGGAGGTCTTTGTCCAGCATTGGCTAGGTATGGCCTAATGACGATGATTATCATGAAATGCACAAGCAAAAAAAAACAGTAACATTCAGTAGTTTCATTTGTTACATAACACATAATACACCACACCAGGCTTAAACCTCCTGCTAAATACCCATGGAGGGAGCATGGGGAATGTGTATGACAAGAAGTTGGTGAAAAAACAATATTGAGTTCCTGACATTAGGCCAAGGAATTCTTTTGGGATGTGCTGCATACCTGAAATTGCTTTGTGGTTACAATGGTTAAAGCAGTGGTACATGTTTCAATTAACCTCAAGGAAGCAATTTTTGTTGGTTAGGGAAAAACATTGTCCGATTATATTTAAGGGTGAATTTATATTACTCTTAATTGTGTTTAAGTTGTTGTTACTCTTTATTTGTTTATTTATGCTCGATATTATCTTTGCTAATGGTAAACACAATTGGGAGTTTTGCACGCGCCTGAACGCAAGTCGACGATGGCGATCTCATAACTGCGACACTGTGCATTGCAAAATGTTGGCTTGCTTTTATGTACAAAATATATGCTTCGTAATTATAGCGCTTTGCCAGCATACACATTCATATAAAACTAATTAAGTACCCCGGGGGGATTAAAAACTTGCTGTTCTAAAAAAAAACCAGGCAAATTAATTGTGATTTTTTTTTAAAATGTAAGCGTATTCCAAATTTATTGATGTAAATATTCTAGTTAATAAGTGTAGACTAATGAAAGTGTGGGTCATTTAGTCCACTTGAGTGTTTTAAAAAAAAAGACAAAACCTTCCATCGTTGTAATGTTTCCATAAATAATGAGTAAGATGGTCAAACCTGACTCATAGGCGCTACCTCTCATTATTTTACGTTGAATTGTTGCAGATAAAGATCATTCATAAAAATCAAGCGCCCATGTTGATGGGGCCGGCCCCGAAGACCGGCTTCTTCTCCTTCCTGAGACGAAAGAAGAACTGAAGGGCGGTGCTGCTCACGATCTGTAAAACTTTGCAGATGGTGCAACACCACTGCTTGCTTGCACAGCACAGCGCGCACACCACACACACACTATGTCATATCTAAAGATTCAACGACTTCATCATACAAGACGACAGTGATTGACAGTGTGTAATATGTGTAAATCGCTCTCTCCGCCGTACACTTTCCACGCATAGTCGCGGCCTATGGCCTTCCAACACTACACAACTTAATTGAGTAGTTGAGTAATTGCATTCCATTTGTCGGATATATTATGATGCCAAATAACGCTATATGTAAGTACTGTATTTTAAATGCCCATCAATATTGCATACATGTTCAGATAATGCGTTGCATAGAAGAAAAACAAACGTGCACAATTACCTTAAGTAATGTAATCATAGACACTGGTTCTTAATCTTTTTATGCTACAAAACAACTTAAACTGCATATTATTACAATCCTAGTACAGTAATAATGTTTTAAAAGCACCATTATACTGTCTTTTTAAATGCAGAATTGGTAAATTCTTTACAATAATTTTTTTTGTAAATTCTTTTTTTTATATGAAAGAAAGTTGATTACACTTAAAACAGCCTATTTTAATGAAAAAAAATCTATACATGCTGTTTTATATTAATTTACTCCAATTGGTTTTATTTTGGGCGGGGATGAAGACATTTTGCTGGAGGATCTTTTTTGTAAAATCTGTTTTTTTCTCACAATTTGTCGTACATGACATGGTTTAATCATAGCATATTCAGGGGATGTGGGTGTAATTGTGTGGGGGAGGGTGTATATTGGACATTATTATTATTATTGTTAGATAAGCTTGTAACAATGCCTGCTTGTCGGTGAACAGTTGTTCATTAAAATGTTTGCATTAGGAACAAATTTCTGACATTAGAATCCTTATTTTTTTCACTGTCGTGTGCTTGACCACTTTTGCAAATATATGCACATACACAATATTTGTTTTTGCTGTTTTAGCTATTATGGACAGGTTTTTTTTAATTGTATTTGAATAAGATGTTTCATGTTTAACATGTGTAAAGATAAAACTTGTTAAGGAACCTAACAAATGGAGCCTTGGCCAAAAAGCGTTATCTTCCCACATTCTTACAGCCCTGTATAACGTATTATATTATATCATACACGCACTGACAAAACTCATGCACTGTAAATATTATTGTAAAGGAAAATTTTAAATATCAATGTTTAATACAGAACGACGTGCTCAGGGATTAGGAACCCCCATTAACATCTGAGTGCCACAATCTCTATACAACGTCACTCATGGGTGTGCCTTGATGTTCCCAATCCCACCAGTCCCATAACCTCATGCTCCCATCACTTTGACACAACACGTGTCTCCCAAGCCATTCCACTCGTCAGCCAAGGAGTCATGCATGATGCCATACATGTGTTTTATTTGCTAAAGCAACATGCAAGACCCTCGTCTATGCTGCGTGGCCTGGTAACGTAACCTGTGATTTGATGCCAGGTTAAGTAATGACACGTTGCAGCTTGTTAGATTTGCTTGATTTTATCTGATGCAAGCTTTCATTAACCCCTCTGCGAGGCTCGCCAACAGTGTTGCCACCACCACCACATGGCAGTGTACATGAACATGGAGCATTGGCATTTGTTTGGATCAATCACGTGTGTTGAAGTTGACAATGCAAACTGTGAGTAACCTTGTAAATGTGATACGTATCAATTGCGTTTTGGTAGGTGTCTGGCATGCTGCCAAAATCTGTTTTGTGGTAAGCATGGTATAGGTTCATAATGTATGTTGCTGCTGAGCAGAAGCACCTTTAATATTGAAGCTGCTATTCTGTCCAGTACTATGTAAAAATAACTATGCATGTGCACACCCGTACCACAATGCCTCTTAAGATAGCCGGCGTATCAGTAGTACATCACAATTATGCGGATAATTCCAATGTGCAACATATGACGATACGTGGCTCCAGGAACAGAAACAACAACAAAAGCTCCGCTTTAGGATTATCCAGTCCCAGGTGACACGTGCAGGTAAGCCAAGGTCACTCTGGCAAATGAGACTATATCCTGATCTTTGGAGTTGTCACCTGGTTAAACAAAAGTAACTTTAACGAATTGATATTTGGAACACAAGGGCATTGTGTGATGACGGTGGTGATGATGTTGATGCTGTTACATCGGTACTGGTCTCCCACCAGACCGGTCTCTCGCGGGAAACTCCGTGTTATGCGTGGGCCCGCCTGGTGCGGGAAGCCCCGATGATGAAGCCACTTGCCAGTGTATTCCAGTTTGTCAATAAATCCACGTCGCAACGTTCTTGCTGGAGACTTCGCTGAAAGACCCGAGGTGGACTTTGTTACTTCCTCAACCTGGAGTCACCAACTGCCACCCGAATACTGACCTGTCACAGGGACAACTAATTGTAGGGGCATGCATTCTGCAGTAACATCATAACAACTGTAACATCACGGTAAATGCGCACTAAATTTAACAAGGGTGTAGTCGTGTTTTTATGTTTTTTTATAGATACTTCAACAAAAGTTGTTTATTATTGTACACTAACAAAGGGAAGTGGACTTTTTACCACGTAGCAGACCTGGTTACTAGTGGCATCGACATTAATGTACATTTTAAAGTTATCTGCTCACGAGTTACACAGATTCTTGTATGAGGTCATGTATGCTGTTTTTTGCCTTTTACCCATGTGATCTGTGCATTTGCGTCAGTTTTGTCGTCAGTGCGAATTAAATAAGCACAATCTTTGTTGGTGCGATTTAAATGTGACTTGTGGACAGTTTGTATGTATCTTTTATGCATCGCCTTCATGTGTTAATTCTGTTTGTGGCATTTACAGCTACAATAAAAAAGTTAAACTTTGACATTACATTTGTATTTTCAGTTGTATATGGTGCTAAGTTTTACGTATCACTGCAATATACATTGATATATGTGTTGTGGGTATAAACGTGGAGGGAGACTTCTGTCTTGGAGGCAACACGTTTATTACGATAAACGACAATACCAATAGCCGTAACACTTACGGCTATGGCCCCTGTAACACTACGGGGTTATGGCCCCGTCACCCGATAACCTAAGGGAGGCACAGCCTCCCCTCTAGCCGGCCCTATACACTCCGGGCTACGCTCTCACGGGTCCTCCGCTACGGGAGCTAGGGGGGGCTAGCCTGATCCGACCTAGCCAGGGTACGGGTCAGGCTAGCCTCCCCTAGCAACCCGGCTCTTACAAGAACCTCGGTTGAGGGTCCCAGGGTGCTGGATTAGTCTTCCGATGTCTTCGGGTCTTGAGTGCACGAACACTGCCGGTCCCATTGAAAAGACCGGCTTTTATACGCAAGTTGGGGCTTACCCCGCCCCTAACCACACCTTCCCCCGAACCTTCCAGAACTGGTCTTGAAGGGTCAGGAATGGGCCGTTGGCCCCCAGCTCCCAGCCCCCACCCCTTGGGGGTCTGGGGCCTCTACTTCCGGTCACGGGGTACCCGGGGGGTGGGGGGTTACCCCGGGTTAACCACTACAACTCCAGCTCACTCTCCCGGCCACCCCCTATCGGCCTGTGAGGGTGGTGACCGTAAGGAGGCATACAGCGCCTTGGTATGGCGCAACATCACCTCCCCCCCCCCCCCCCTCCGTAGCACCCAGCCGTCCCGGCTGTCAATAATCTTGAAGGGTACAACAATGAACCAGGTACGCAAGCCTCAACTATAACAACAACATAAATAACAACAAGTGACCCGATATAAATACCCCAGCCCACCTGTACAAATTTACACTATATGCAACAGATTAAAAAACGTTCACGGTGTATGAAGAAGTGACCCCTTCCCCCCCGAGGTCACTGTACAAAGTACCCCCAAAAAGTGCAATAAAAAGGCAATAAGAATGAACAAAGTAAGCTGTACTCATTGTGGAGTGTGTGGGGCGTGTGTGAGTCGGGGGGGGGGGTCAAGAAAATCTCTTAAGTCCTGGACCGAGTCCTCATGGCCGGGCCGCCGACGGACGCGGCCTCCCCCAAGCCGGCAGGACTCAGGGGTGCCGGCGACGGCGATGCGGCCGAGGGCGGTTTGGGTAGAGTGTCCGGGAGGACGGGGGAGCTCCTCTTGGCAGGGCTCGGAGGAGCAGACGTCAGCGGCGCCGGTGCAGGCGTCAGTTTTGCGGCACCCGGAGAGGGGGGCAAGGACTGCTGCTGTTGCTCCGCATCAGTAGGCATACAACCCGGCACGTCGGACACCTCACACAAACGGCCCGGACTAAGTGGGGATGGATCGGGAGTGCGTGAAACAAAGAAGCGCTTAAGTCGAGACGGATGCATGTGCCAGCAGGGGCGACCCCACCGAATCTGCACCTCTTGAGGCCGAACCACACGAACAACCACAACGGGCCCCCGCCATAGTTTAGCCAACTTGGGGGACGTCCCCACAGGGACCTGAGGGCAGTGGAGCCACGCTTTGTCGCCCGGCTGCCACTTGTGATCAGATACGCGGGAGGCCTGCAGGCGTTCGCTCGCATTTTTCCGCGCCTCTGAATTAATTCTAGCAGCCTCTTGTGCTTCGGTCAGCCTCTCAATGCTAAAGCGAAGCGAGTCAGACAATTTAGCAGGTTGTTTAGGTGGAGTCACGCCGAGTTGGACGTCAACTGGGGGGTCGTGCTCCCTGCCGTACATAAGATAAAATGGCGAGTAGCCGGTCGAAGCGTGGGGGGCCATGCGGCAAGCGGCCAGCACGCCAGGAATGTGCAAGTCCCAATCCTGCTGGGACTCGCTCACCTGGTGGCTAAGCATCGTCGCAATTGTCCGGTTCAACCGCTCCACCATGCCATCTGTTTGCGGAGTCGTGGAAACAACAAGAACGTGTCTGCTGGCGGTGTCATCTCGGCGCATGAGTAGGCCATCCCTCAGAACGACGGGCGCCAAACACTCCGGATCGACCCCACTTCTGACACCAAATGTTGTGGATATAAACGTGGAGGGAGACTTCTCTCTTGGATGCAATGCGTTTATTACGATTAACGATAACAATACCAATGGACGTAACACATGGCTATGGCCCCTGTAACACTACGGGTTATGGCCCCGTCACCCGATAACCTAAGGGAGGTACAGCCTCCCTTCTAGCGGGCCCGACAGACTACGGGCTACGCTCTCACGGGTCCTCCACTACGGGAGCTAGGGGAGGCTAGACTGACCCGACCTAGCCAGGGTACGGGTTTCACCGCTGGTCCGCTGCAACCCGGCTCTTACAAGAGCCTCGGTTGAGGGTCCCAGGGTGCTGGACTAGTCTTCAGATGTCTTCGGGTCTTGAGTGGACGAACACTGCCGGTCCCATTGAGAAGACCGGCTTTTATACACAAGTTGGGGCTTACCCCGCCCCTAACCATACCTTCCCCCGAACCTTCCAGAAGGGTCTGGAAGGGTCAGGAATGGAGCGTTGGCCCCCAGCTCCCAGCCCCCACCCCTTGGGGGTCTGGGGCCTCTACTTCCGGTCACGGGGTACCCGGGGGGGGGGGGGGGCGGGGGTTTACCTCGGGTTAACCACTACACCTCCAGCTCACTCTCCCGGCCACCCCCTATTGGCCTGTGAGGGTGGTAACCGTACGAAGGCATACAGCGCCTTGGTATGGCGCAACATATGTATGAATATATTAAGGGGTGGAGTGGTGGCACGTTGGTTAGTATACTGCACTATGAACCCAGCTGCCTGAGTTTGATTCTCGGCCAGGGATAACAGCAGTTGTGAGATATCTGGACCAGTCCTAGGTCTCCCCTCTACCAACCAGCCCACACATTCTGAATTCGTGGCTGTGTGCATGTTTAAACATCTACTTTACTGTTTAAGTGGCTTGCAATTGTTGATGCCACGACAGCGAAGCCGCTCCGCCGAGGCCGGGGCCGCCGCTGTGCTGCTGCAGCAGAAAAGCCACCCGGCTTCCGTCACCGCGCTTTCCCCACCATCCCCCACATAAACACACACGTGCACTCACGTAGGGCCTCGTGTGGGGGGGGGGTCACCTGCCCCTGAGTTTTTACGGTTTCTCAGGGCCAGGGAATTGGCAGAACCCCTCCCAGGCCGAATGACACTGCGGCGCCGTGGACTAACTTAAAATTGTATGGCCACAGCGAACTCACTGAGAACCGCAATGAGAAAACACCCAAGGCACACGCGGATCGGCAGGCAGGTGGGGAGTGGGGCAGAGTAGCGAACGACAGGAAGGCAAGGGGGGGTGGGGGGCCTCGTCTCCACACCACGGGTGCAGGGACCTCGCCGTGGCACAACGTGTGTTGGAGCAGTAGCCAAGGAGGAGGAGGACCTCTATGCCGGACGCTTTGTTAAACAATAGGGGGTGGGTTTCGGAGAGGGGACTGACCCGATTGGCCAAGAGCATTAGCTTTGATGTAAGAGGATAAAAAGGGACAAAAATTAGGAGCTCTCTCTCTTTGCGCTCGGGGTCAACTGGAGTGAGGGTTCGAGGAGTCGTCATCCTCCTGCTATTCGAACGTTCGTGAGACGGGTCGTAGAGCAGCCGAGTTCAGTTCCCCACCCAAAGCCACGTGCAGCCCTCGCCTTTCCGCGGCTTCCTACACTTCGAGATCGGAGAGTGAGTACAGAGGGGAGAGGTAAGTCCGAGGAGAAAATCCCGTAGAGGGGTGAGGAGGGAGAGACTAGGCAAATTGAGCCCTAAACAGCCAGGAGATAGGACAGACCTGACCTGCTGACCCGCACTAACACGAGTAGATTCATTCTAGTGAGACAGAGAATAAACCACCAGTAGACATTACACCGTGTCGTGTTGTCTCTGTGAGTACGGGGAGGGAGGGGAGTGCCTGGTGTGGTGAGCCTGTGCGTTGTGTGGTGTCTGGTGTTTGCGCACGAGCGTATATTTTGCACGCGCGTGGGTACTCTCGCCACTGCACAGCTCGTGGTTGGCGGGTACGAGAGGGGCACAGCGGTGTATTTGTAAAGTGGTTAGTATAGACATTTAAATCATGCCACGAGGGGCAGCCGCGAGGGGTGGGGGGGGGGAGTCGGAGAATGGTGGGTCACAGGAGAACGGGGACACTGGGGGCAGTCTCTCCAACACAATCTGTAAATAACATTAACCATTCAGTATAAATTAGACGATTCTGAATTTACCACGAGAAATACAAGCCAAGGATTTTATAATAACGCTTTGTACTTTAGGAAAATACAGATAGGTCAGACTAACCATGAATAATTTACAACTAATAAAATGGTAATATATTTACAAGCGTTGTGATCGACATATCGTGATCTATTATTTTTTCTACCTACGTGACTTTACCGAGAGAACCAAACAGTATGGATTCCTGCAGTCATGAAAGCTTCAAATCAAGATTGAATATATTTACAATCACCTCCTTTTCGCTTTATTGAGACCATTGCATGTTTATGCATCTTTGCATCATCTTGCTTCCTCTTGGTTATGAAAAATTGGATATCAGTTCAAGTCTCCAAAATATATTGTCTTGCACACAAATCTTGAATTTAATCATTCATGTGAGTATCCCATTAAGATGTTAGAAAGTACCGTATTCATTGCAATAACTTAATGGAATATTTGAAATTAACATTGCGTGTATTAATTGTATATTAAACATGCGTTATTGAAGGTGTTTTTTTAAAGTTGCCAATCACAGTGTACGTAATTGGCATATATATGACAGACACTATATCTGTTATCTAAATGCAGTACTTAATCTTATTATTTTACTGGATTGCTATTATTATGCAATGTTACTCAACAGGAAGCGTCTGCTAGTCCTTTGCCATTCTGGGAAATACATTTTCAAACTGGTGACCAATCTTAATCAATTGTGTTGCCAAGACAAACAGGATACTCAAGGCT